ATATATATATATGTATGTGTGTATATGCATGTATGTCTATGTATGTATATATATTTATATTTGGTTTGTTTACTTTTTTACGTTGCTGTGTAGGTTGATATATTTATGCTTGCTTCTGTATGTGTATGTATGCATATGCGTCTGCGTATGTGTATCTGTGTATATGTGTAGATATATATATATGTGTATGTGTGTATGCGTGTATATGTATATATGTGTGTATATGTTTGTCTATAGGTTGGCTTTTCTGTACTTATGTCTGTAGTGATGTATGCGTATACGCTGTACACATATATCTGTAGGTAGTCCTTATTTTCTTCCACCTAATGTACAATATGGCGTATATAGACATATATCAAAAATATATAATTTTTTATATATATTTGTGTGTATGGAATTTTCGTTTTTTATTTATTAGATGGTGTTATTTTTATACGTATATATCCGTTTTAATGTCCTTTCTTTCCCTATTGTTTGTTTCTCTGTTCTATTAGACCATTTTTATCTATGTATATTTGCCCGTATCAGTTATATTTTACTAAGTGGTTAGAATTCGTTTAATAACACTTTCAATCTTGAATATTTCTTGGGTGTTATATCGGAGTGTCTATGTAAATGCATGTGGATATATGTATGTGTCTTTTTCGGTGTCTGTGTATACTAACTTGCATGCATTTTCATTGTGTATGTGTGTTGTTTTAAAATTTTTTTGTGAAAGGTCGTGCAAATATTTCCTGTCTCGTCACTTTTTTGTGTGTATATATCTAAATATGTCTGCGTGCTCATGTATTATAATCTGATTGTGTTTGTATTGTCTTTCGCAAGATGTCATAATCCCATGTCTACACTTGTATCCATGTTGTCATTAAGTTAAGGGCAGTCGATCTTAACGTTTATTCCAACGTAATTTCAATAGAAACAAAATAAATAGAATAACATATGTATTTTTTTTTTTTTTCCTCAATAATTTTAAAATTTTAAACTTAATATAGATTAAATTTACATTTTTGAAATGGGTAGATTTTAATTTTAATTTCAAATTTTATCGTACAATTTAATACTTATTAGTTAGAATAAATTCTATTTAAGTATAACCCCAGCTTTAAAGCATTTAATAATTATTATAACCTTACTTCGTTGTCAAGTTTTTTGAACTTTTGTATACTTGTATCTATTCCAGCTCATGCAACAGCGTTTTCCCCTTACGAGGGGTGGTCAATTAATTTGAACCTTTTAAAACCTTTATTCTACAATCTACATTCAAAATCATCACTTGATAAGACACAAGAGTAAAAAATTATATATATATATATATATATATATATATATATATATATATATATATTTAAGTATATGATTGGTGTATATGGAATGAATTCAAATAACCAACAAATACTATTCTTAAAAGAGTGATCAATACAAAGTAGAGCAGATATAATTATTTATTTAAAAAAAATTATAACAGAAATATGTTATAAATCACTACAAAAATAGCCCTTTTGTTTCAACACTCTCGGTGTCTTATCAAGTGATGATGTTGAATCGAATAGAATAGGCCCTTTATTCTACATTCAATTTTTTAAATAAATAATTATATATATATATATATATATATATATATATATATATATATATATATATATATATATACAAGGTCTGATCAAAAGTATCATGACTAGTGATGTATGAAAAGAAAACTACGGCCCATAGCAATTCGCCATTTAATCTCCTTCAAAATTATCCCCTTCTGAAGCGTTGTATCCATTGATGGAAACATTCCGGCAACTCCATTTTGGGATATCGAGCAGCTGCCTCGTCACATTCTCTTGCATTTCATCGACATCTTGAAATTTTCTTTCTTTTAATTGGGCTTTGATTTTTGAAGATGAAAAAGTGCCAAAAGTGAATATGGTGTTAGTCGTACATGGCAAAACATGATCACTGATAATACATCTATGGTGTGGTGAGATGACCACACTCTACACACTGTCCTTCCAAGCACTGATATATACAACAGAAGTGAGCAAGAACATTATAACTTCTTATATAATCACGACGGAAGTCAATGTCAATCTGTGCCAAGATGCATTTCTCTGTGTACATTATTTCCATTAAGATATCTACAGTTCCGATACTTTTGATCGGACTTCGTCAGTATATATATATATATATATATATATATATATATATATATATATATATATATATATATATATATATAATGGGCTGTCTAGTAGCAAAAAACAATCCAGATCCTAGAACGCACATATGATTTGATTATAGTTTTCAAGACCAACAAAAAAAGTGACCAACCAACAACCTTCTTCAAGTTTGTCATTCATAATTGGCTTTCTTCTAGTCTAGTCACCAACCAGGGCTCAAAAGCCCAGATTACCCTAACATTTAACCTGTAGCTTTGAAATGAAGAGATAGATCTATAACTTTGCCAATGTAGTTGTGCGTAAGTAATGAAATTGGAATTCGAAGTCGGCCATGTTCACAACTAAGCAATGGTCGGAGGAAAAGATTATTCATGTATTCAGTAATGGTACAAATATTTATACTCTGGCTTCCATTTTCAAAGTCTATTCACCATCAAGATTGTCTTAGAGCAATCAAGAAAACGGTGAATAATTTTTAAAAAGATATATATATATATATATATATATATATATATATATATATATATATATATATATATATATATATATATATATATAAGGAAATAGACTACAAATAGCAAATGTTTATCAATATAACGTGTTTCACTTTTAGTAACGCTTTATAAGAAAATGAGATGTGGAGTAAAAGAAGAAAGAAATTCTGTTATTTTTATTTTTGCATTGTTGGATTTTCACTGGTCAATCAGGTTTCACGTTCATTCGACTTAAAACAAACGTTATTATAATTTATGGCATTCAGAATTCAGTGAGAGACAACGCGTCCTTACGAAGTTCCAAGACATTACAGGATTTCAAGCCTAACTGAAAAAGGTTAAATATACAGTGGCGTTGAATAAGCGATCGTACAGCAAACAAATACTTGTTATTCTCACTTATAGCGAATAAAAACCTCGAATAACAATGTTATATATGTATTTTGGGGCATAGAATCAGAATCTGCAATTTAAAATTAGAAATTCATCGATAAGTGATAATTATGCAAATTTTTATATTTCGAATAGTGGAAAAAAGTGTTCGTACAGTATCAATTTTTGCATTATAATGTGGTAGATTCTGGTTGTACTTCATAGTAGAAGGTTCTAAACTGTTCTAGAATATTCTCAGTAACTCTATTGCAACATTCGGTTCAAAACTGGATCATTCTACAGTCACTGTTCACTGATAACGGTTCTAATAATGGCTCGGCGTAAGGAAATGTCTTGTGCTCAAAAAGAGATAATTATTAGGCTATGGAACAATGGAAAAAGTTATAGAAGCATCTCCAGTGACACGAACATAACTTTTTCAACAATTGGTTCATTTATTGCAAGATTTAAAAGACATAATAGTTTTGAGAACAAAGGCAGACCCGGTGCTCCCAGGAAGATCTCTCCCAGATTACGAAGAAAGTTGTTGCGACAGGTCCAAAATAAACCAATGGCCATCAGACAAGACCTTAAGAATGATCTGAGTTTGTCAGGAGTTAACGTAACTAAACAAACGATTAGTAATGAACTACGCAGAAACGGTATAAAGTCGCGCTCCCCCAAAAAGACAGCACTCCTTCTGAAACAGCATAGATTGAAATTAGCGATAGAGCATAAAGATAAGGGAAATTCTTACTGGAAAAGAGTTCTTTGGACAGACGAGTACAAGTGAGTTGTTCGGAGTTCCCTGAATTATGTATGGAGGAAAGGCGGCGAAGCATACGCACCCAAGAACACCATCCCAACTGTCAAGTTTGGTGGCTGTAGTATCATGATTTGGGGCTGCTTTTCGATGTGAGGTGTTAGCAAACTAGCAATTATAGACGGTAGAATGAATGCAGAAATACATCAACTAATCCTAAGCGAAAATTTACTACTGTCTGTAGAAAATCTTGGGCTTCTTCCTGATTTGATCTTCCAGTAGGACAATGATCCCAACCATACTGCTAAGAGTATGAAGAATTGGCTTGTTAAGAACAACGTTGACATCTTACAATGGCGCAGTTAGTCGCCGGATTTTAATCTGATAGAGAATTTATGGCGGTTTTTGATCCGTGATAGAGGTCCAAAAACCTGAAGACAATTGCATAGGAAGGATGGGACAAAATACCTACTAAAGTATGCGAATCATTAATTAAAGACTACAGGAAGAGATTGGTTGCTGTTGAACTTAATAAAGGCTTTGCTACAAAATATTAAACGGAGAAAACATTTTTTGTTCTGTTGTACGAGCATTTTTTAATCCCCTAAAAATTTAAATATTGCTATATTTTCTTAACCATGGAATATTATTTATTTTTATATGGATACATTTTTAGTATGCAATCTGATACAGTAGATATATTCCCGTTTTGTTAATTTAATGTTACAAATAAAAATATGAAATATTTTCATGTGTACGATCACTTATTCAACCCGACTGTATCTTTACGTACTGGGTGGTTCGAAAATCTTGTCAACCCCTACCCAAAAAGGTAATGAGAACAATAGAACAACAAGTAATACAGTAATAAAAAGTACATGTAGTGGATTCCGTTTATTGACTTTCATTGACGCTGTCGTACATCGAGAAGGTCTGTATGAACACCATTTTCCTGCCAGCCAACTGAAATAGAAAATTATAATATGTAGGGGTGACAAGACTTTCGGACTAGCCGGTATCTATCTATCTACAGTGTAACCCGGATATAAGAGAAAAAGTCTCTTATATCCGGTTTTCTCTTATATCCGGTTTTCTCTTATATCCGGGTGTCTCTTATATCTGGGTTTGGTCTATTTTATATACATTAACACAGGCTCTAATTTGGCACCAGAGAAAATCTCTCTTATATCCGGGTTTCTCTTATATCAGGGTCTCTTATATCCGGGTTACAATCTATCTATCTATCTATCTATGTTGATATGTATCTCAGACTTCGTTGTCTAGCTATCTGTCTCAGTCTGTTCATATCTATCTATCTATCTATCTATCTATCCAATATTAACGGATTACAAGTCAAATTGTATAAAACGTAAATATTGCTTTATCTATGTACATGCCCGAATCATTGAGCTGAGGTGTTGTGATATTGAAAGATCCGAAACTACCAAAATACCAAGTATTGACATCAGAGATGACGCACCGCAGAGTATTTTTACGATATATAATCTTTAAAGCTATTTTAATGTACTGTAATTAATTTTCTACAATTAAGTACCACTAGCTGGTAAGTTACTAGCCTGTAGTTAGTCTATCCTCGTAGTACATATTCTTCGTGGATCCTATATATATCCATTGAGAATCCAAACATTGAAAGGATATATATAGGCTCCACGAAGAATGAATTTAAAATAAGGTGGAGACAACATAAAAGCTCATTCAATAATATTAGAAATAGAAATCAGACACCCCTATCTAAATATTTTTGGCCTTTAAAAGAAACAAATAAAACACTAAAAGTAAAATAGAAAATAATATATAGAATACGAATTTGTAAAAACTGGGATGACCCATGCCCTTTATGCCTACATGAAAAACTACACATTATTAAGTTTCTAAAAAACGAAAATTTATTAAATCAAAGAGATGGCATAACGGCTTTTTGCCGACACTGACAATTATTCGCCTTAAATAATTAGCTTAAAATTTTTTAAAACATTCCTAAGTCTATAAACAAGTTCAATTAAAGCAATAGGTTTAAAAACTTAACCCAATCATAAAAAAAACTCTTTATGAAGTCGTCAAAAAACAAATTGTAGTTCATTACGACGTATTCATATACAAACATCCCTTTTAGAAACAAATCCTTATGTATACAAATACAAATTTAACGGCGTAACACAAAGTGCCGTAACTCTCTGTCGTTGAATTAGACCAGACGATATGCGTTGAACGGATGTCATCATTCGTTTGAAAAAAAGCATCCCGACCCTACCTTGACTTAAGCTCTTTTCTAAAGTAACTAATATGTTGATAATAATTATCAGTGAAAATGAATACCCTACTGACTCTTATGGAAATAATTAGTTTTCTCTATATCCATAGAAATTAATATTACGAATGTATATGCTTAAAATGCTCCGTAAATTTCAAAATTAGTTATTCCAAAATTCGCTTGAGGATGAAACATAACTAGCTGCTTTAATTTAATTTCAATAAATGAAATAGAAGTTTTTTAGCTTCTGTTTTTGAAACATGAGAACTCTTATGTCGCGACGGAATCATATTTAAAAAAATAATTATAATATATATATATATATATATATATATATATATATATATATAGAGAGAGAGAGAGAGAGAGAGAGAGAGAGAGAGAGAGAAATAGTTGATAGAATATAATTTTAAGGTATTCTATATTTCTGGGATAAAGTGCTCAATATTAGAGATAGAGCATATGTAAATAAAAAAGTTAGCATTGAAGTCAACACCCAGAGACGACAATCTGTTACATGCTAAACGCAATGTGCGTTGTGTTTTTGCTCAACTATTTATAAACACAGGTCAGTGACACATTGTGGGTTGTCTATTGTATTGCATTGTGGGTAGCCTAATGTATTGCATTGTAAGTAATCTATTGTGTCATTCTAATGGCTGTGTTTAAGATTATTCTTCAGTGCAAATAATTAGGGATCCGAATGCAGTCTTTGAGCTATTTTAGATTTTTTTTTAATTCATAATTGATTATTTTATTGTTCTTTTTTTATTACTACAATTTCTTGTGTCACTGCCCTGTATATATAAATAGTCGAGCAAATGCATAACGCACATCGCCTGAAGATTGCGTTTAGCATTACTCCACTCACAGGCACACACACACACACACACACACACACACACACATATCTATCTATCTATCTATCTATCTATCTATCTATCTATCTGTAATATTTAGCTTAAACTGTTATGATATATTTAAGGAAAGGCTTTAGGATAATCCATTTGTCATTTCAACTAGTTCCAAAAAACGGAAATTACTTATGAGTTAACCATACAACGTTTTTTATCTGGATGACATTGACAAATATTTTCTTCCAGGCTTATTGCAATAAAATATTGGCACGCATGCGTAGTAAACCGACTTAATGAAGAATATTAAAAAAAACAAACAAACCTGGAAGCATACAGCCAACATATAACTTTTTCTAATGCACTTTATTCTGCATACCATGAAGGAAAACGACTTACCGATTGATTTGGATTTTGATGCATATATATGAATAATTATACTGATGTTGTTAACACACACACACACACACACACACACACACACACACACACACACACACACACACACATATATATATATATATATATATATATATGTACACTTTTATTTCGATGACCTCGGCCAGGTCGTTATCTTAATTTTGGTAATTTGTTTTTTTTTTTTTCTATTTTGTTTTCTTTATTTATGGAAATAAATTAAAAAAAAAAAACGCCCGCCCCAGACATTGTTTCCCGCCATTTTGAAAATGGCTTCAGGCAGGACTAAATTTGTTCGCGGCGTAAATTTCTTTTGCTCAAATTACTGTTCCTCAATGGCAACCAGGTCTGCAGTAACGCCGGCAATCGACGATTAATTTAGACAATTTGGCTCGTCTCTCTTAACTTGTTTTTCATATTTTTTTTTTTTTTACTTCAGTTGTTCTCCATGTGCTTATTTTGGGGGAGTATCTATATGGCTCGAAGCCAAACACAAACAGTAACAAAACAAAAACAAACAAACAAAAAAAAAAAAAGGAAGAAATTCCAGAATATATTTCTCCACAAAATTGCGCATTTTCAGTGTTATTACTTTGTTTATATTTCTGTCTTTATTTTTGTCTGTCTGTTTTCTCTGGGTGTGGATCTTGTTTATTTGTTTGGTTGTTTTTTTTTTTCACTTACCCTAGAGATTTGTTCTGTCTGTAGAGGTAATATCGGGTGCTTCCTGTTGTATTTCAAGAGTGATACTCCGACTGTGTTTCTCGCTTTTTGGCGAGCATTGATTTTCGCGCTGAATGAAAAGGCTGGTCGGGGTGAGGTAGGAGATATAGAGCAATCACTGAATATGATAAAGAAAACTCAAACGGTTTTAACAACAGGAATAGTGTCAGTTGAACATTTAAGACAATTAAGACAAATTAAGAAATCTTCCCGCATACGAATAGCTCGACATAAGAATGCTGTGAATATCTAGACCGGAGCATTTAAGCAAACGAAACGGTGCAGGCTTTATAGATATTTCCACGGAAAGGGTTCAGACGAATTATATTCCATAGTTCCACCAGTTTTAACCTACACGCCTAAGACCAGCCATGGCCCGTAACATTGTAGCGAACAACCCCTATTCCCTTTGGATCTCATTGTTGAGATAGGTTCCACTCAAACAGCTTCGTCCTAGGAACGGCTGTTCTGTGGAGCTGACTCCGATTACTACAATCTTAACCTGTTCAAATCTAGTGTTAACCGTTATCTTCCTCACATATCCCCATAACTGTACCTCTGTAAGCCTCTACCTCGAGTGGTTCCTGAGCCTTTATCTTTAAATGAGTCTCTATTTCTCGGACGTCGTTCGTACAATCCAAAAGACCTCGTATTCAATCGTGAGTTCTTCGCACTTCACCAACGCAAAAAAACAGTTATCCCTTCTCTCTGCTTTAGCCGTCTTTTATCATGCCAACATCACGCTTGACTAACCAATTAGCGTTCTTCACGTTTGAAGTCAGTTACCCAGGCAAATAGCCTCCTCCAGTCCGACCAATCAGCACACGACTTGCCGTTGGTCGAACAAAGCTGCACAAAAGCCACCATTATAGCACATACTGTTGGAACATAATGTGTGGAGTAGGTGAGTGAGGCGAGCTTCGTTCGTGCGAACAGGGCTAACCTTGATTTTCTTTTTTTTTTAGGTCTACCTAATTCACAGTAGGGGGGGGGGGTTCTGTGGAGCCTTCCCCTGGTTAGGACAGACAAGATTTGTGTGCCTACTTAATGTGAGGGTTATTCCCAGCCTGTTCTCGATTGCATGTTCGGTTTTGATCCAAGATGAGATACCCAACCTCTTCATTTTGTTTTTGGCCCCCTTTCCCTCGACTGGGTTAGCTTTCCTTATTCCCCATGTCTGTACTTATTTTCTCCTTTCCCTCTCCCTTAGCGAGAGAGCATCTTGATTTTGCCTAAGGGCGGAATACAGCGGCTTCTCTCGTTTTTTTTGTCGGTTGAACGAGTCCTACTAACATCAGTTATCTTTATTTCGTTTGTTTTGATATTTAGTCTGTTTTGGGAATTATCCCCCCCGTCTCATTGTAAATCATCAGATTTTTATGTATAAAATTTTTATAATCAGGAAATTGTTATGCCATGGGGTGCGTTTTGTATGTGCCCTGAGAGTATGTGATATAATGGTATATGGAGGATTGATTGGTGACGGATGAAGTCTTGTGGTGAATGTGCAAATTGTAATGAGTGAATGGGTTGTGAATAGGATTAGCTAGGTATTGTGACACTATGAGTTGGATATATGCGCACGCGTGTGTGTGTGCGCCCGCAGATCTATGTGTGTGTGTATATATATACACCCACATATCTGTGTGTGCGTGCGCGCGCACACATATGTGCGAGAAGATTAGTTAGATTTGACCTGGGTATCAAACTTCAAGACCCAATGACTAGATTAGGAATCTAGATAAAAAAATGTTTTGAACATATGGCCAAAAGGGTAGATAGGTGTTAAGTACTTGATAGTTAAAAGACCGGCTCTGGTCAAAACTTAAAAGGGTCTGAATTTAATGTCCCTGGATCGGAGTCAGCTAGGCTAGGAAATAATTTTATGTCCACTTTCTTCAAAAGGAGAAATGGTCATGAAAAAGTTATGGGTTTATTCGTGGGTGTCCCTTGCCCGGAAATGATGAAAGAGGACTCTGCATATATACGGGAGCACTTTGGGTTTCAGAGAGATAGACTTAGTTTAGGTCCGAGGAAGGTTGATTCAGGCTGGAGCAAGTAACAACGAAGAGCGACACATTAGCAGCCGGACATTGTTAGGATATTTTTTTTTTTTTGCCAGCCGAGAATCAGCCCAGAGTTAACTATCCACAAAAGGTCACACGCCCTCCCTCCTCTTTTCGTTCTACCCAAGTTTGTAGTTGTGTTTTTCTTTTGCATGTGAACCTGCCTTTCGCTCGATCCACCGCACAGAAATTCTACGACGTGGGGTCTATATCTTGTGCAACGAGTGCAGAGGTGGGTAGTCTCACAGTATAAGATAATTAGTGAAACCAGCCTCAAGCCATTCCCATTTTTCTGCCTTGTGCCATAATTGTATTTTTATACAATAAATTTCAGCATGAAGAGGGGAGATTAATGCCATTTCCAAAGAACAAAATGCCCACGCTACGTCCCGTGTGTTGAGGTAAGGAACTTATTTTCCTTTGCACCAGTTGCAAGCCACACTGACTCGCTTGCTTCTATGTGATTGTTGACCACACCATTGTAAAAATAAAAAAAGAAAGAAAATTAGTACGCTGAGAAAACTATATTAATTAATGACCGGATGATGAATTATGAATGTCCAAGAAAAAAAAGAAAAAAAAAGAAGAAGAAAATATTGTATCGAAAATCCGAGTGAAGACAATTAAGTTTCCTTGCTTGTAGTGCTTTTGTCATTCTTAAATAGAAATTTAAAGAGATATTGTGGAAAGAGGTGTGGCGGGGATAGTGGCAGTTGTCGACATGAGAAACAGAGTGGGACGATGGCGAAAGCATAGCGGCGAATATAAAAATGGCGGATCGGAAATAATAATTCATCGCCTGTTGTACAATTAATACAAGTAAGAAAAGGAAAGAAAGAAAGAATACATTGAAAATTATTCAGCAATTATTCTCTTTCGGCTGACATCTTTCTCAATATTTAATAAGCGTTTTCCTGCCATAGCACTCCTTACTTCCTTTCATCCCTTTCTGTTTATTTCTTTCTTTCAAGTAAATGAAAATCTTCTTCCTTTCTTTCTTCATATATTCCATAAATATTTGAAGGCTTATATCGAACTCTTTCATAGATTAAACGCATGCCTCGAAAACCTACCTAGCATATTCCATCATCTTCGATCGACATTTATCGCCAGTCACAACGAATAGTTGTTTCCTCAGGGAGGCCCAGTGCTTTGAGGGTCTACTGGGCCTCAAACAGAACACACATCTCAAATGGAACACGTACATACGATACATCGCGAAAGATTAATGAAAAAAAATTGTTTGTTCTCTGTACCGACCCTGTAAGAACCTGATTCCTCCTGTTATCGTCTGTCTTTACAAAAGCCGGATCAGGCGGGAAATGAAGTATTGCTGTCAGGTCGTCACTTTCCACTCTCGATAGAATCTAAAAGCGTCCCCTCGTCCTTGTGGGAGACAAATTATTTTCCACCCTGTAACCGCTTACAGAAGAAACGTCACAAGCTTCTCGCAGCTCTATCGTTACTTCCATAGAAAGTGCTCAGGCGAACTATATTCCTTAGTTCCATTAAATTTAACCTTCATAGCTAGGACCCACCATGCTACGTACATTGTAGTAAAGCACGCACATTCCCTCCGTATTCCATTTGTGAGGAGTAAGTTCTACTTGAGTAGTTTATTCCCGTTAACCAATGCTTTATGAAACTGACCCCAAGTGGATGTTTTCCAGATCACTACAATCTTAACCTGTTTAAGTTAACCGTTATCTTTATCTTCATATCTGAATAAAATGCGTGTCTTACACTGTAATTTTTTGCCTTGAGTGGCTTGTACAAAAAATGTATAAAAAGCAAAGATGTTAATTCTTAAGCTCAGTTTTTATATATTCCGCATTCACTTTTTTTTTTTTAAGTAGACGTTTCTATTTTTAAACAGTGTAAATTTAATTTTGCTGTCCTA